TCTTGCTATGCAAGAACACTTAATAAAAATGTCAATAGTTTATTTTTTATCAATTAACAAAATACAAAATGAGTGAACGAAAGAAATGGTGTGGCCACACTTTGCCTTCAATATAGCACTTGCTCTTCTAGACACTTGAACTCAGTTTTAAGAACTTGGCAGGTAGGTTGTTCCAACCATAGTTCTTCTGTGGTCTTATGTAGACTTCGTTGCTTCTATGTCTTTTTTTTTTCTCAGACAACCCTCCGAGAAGAGTATCATATTATCTGTACTCTTGTCATCATGTTTCTGTGTATTTATTATATCACAAAATGTTATCAAAAATCACAAACCCCCTATCCCCCAGACAAACAACTCCCACCACCTAGAATTGCAATCTCAAACCGCTAGATAGCAATCAACTGAAAAGAAAAAAATACAAAATTAAATAGATAAATAAATAATATACCTGAATTTAGAATCGTCCTAAGTCCTTTCCTCTGGGTTTTTAAAAAGGAAATTATTGTTCCAGAGCAGCCATATCTTATATATCCATCTTAGCTTGAGCTAAAAAAAAAAAAAAAGCCTTTTTCCATCAGAGCGAACTGGTTGATCTGATTTTCAACTTCTCCCCAACTTATTAGACTCTGACTTTTCCACTTGCGAGCTAATGTCAGCTTCATAGCCAACAGAATATGAATGACTAAACTTATTTTTGCTTCTGCCAGAGTGTCTAACCCACAATGTAATAGAGCAGTTTTCGGGTGAGGACTGATAATCATATTGGTCCACCTCGAGATCACCAGTAATATCTCATCCCAAATGTTTTTAATAAGTTTACACTCCCACCATATATGTAAACTACTTCCTAAGGTCTCCCCACATCTCCAGCAAACATTAGAGGCCAAGGGGTCGAACTTGCTAATAATTTGAGGGACAAGATGCTATCTAAACTATCTTAAATTGGAGTTCTTGTATATTAACACAATGTGTGGCTCTTTTAGTAAAGCTCCAATTTTTAGACCATAACTTCCAGTCCTGTTCTAACCCAACCTCCACTGACCATCTAGTCCATGCTCTGGGAAACCTAGCTGGAACCAAGCTTTCAACAATTTGATACTATCATTTGAGAAGTCCCAATTGGGAATCAGTACTAAATATTTTCTCGATTTGCAGAATGAATTCCTCATTACCGTTTTTACTTGTATTACTAGCCACATACTGTTGAATCCTATATAGTTTTAAGTATTGTTTATGAGGGATATGTAATTCTTGATTGAGTTGAACGATATTTTTAAGTCTGTTCCTCATGAATACATTTCTAGCCTTAATGTTATTTTTATTTGGCCAAGATGATATATCCAAGTCTTTAATCAAATTCTCAAAAATAAAAACCGGGACCGCTTTGATAATGTTATTTTTCATCTGATTTCTTTTTTTGAAGATAAGTCAAAATCTAAGAAGTTTCCCTATTATACTATTCGGAAAGACTCTAATCCGCTGATTTACTTGCTCGTATTCCATCCATAATAAACTTACTATGCTACTTGCTCATAGTAGCTCTTGTTGAATCCAATACCAGCCCTCTACTTTGGAGGATGGACAATGAAACTTATGGACATGGGCATACTGGCCTGGGCATACCTTATCATTCAAGGACGTCCTACACCCTTCGGTCCTTATTTCTAATGCCTCTACCTCAATTTGTGGCTTTTTATTATTCCCGATAAATTTACTTATAGTCCTTAGAAACTGTTTACACTAAGCTATCGGAATTGGTATCATCCTAAAGCGATATAGCCATCTTGGGAATATATGGGCTATAATAAGGTTTATTCTGCCCAATAAAGAAAGATTCAATGCCTTCCATTCTACTAACTGCCTGTGTAGATCAACAAGCAAGGAAGAATAATTCAATTCTAGAATCTGCCCCTTATGTTCAGGGATAAGTATAACAAGATATTTCAAGTGCTTTTCTGTCCAAGAAAAGGGATATTTGTCAGTCAACCTCACGATCATTTCTGTATCTAGTACAATCGGCATCGCCTGAGTCTTCTCAATATTAATATTTGTAATTTGATAGCCCCCCAAATCTTTCCACATCTGTCAATAGTGTCTCGAGTGATGTTTCAGGATCAGTCAAAATCACCAGGACATCATTCGCAAACAAATTTAACTTACAAGTGTGTTTACTTATCTTAATTCCCCATATATTTTCCAACAGCCTTATTCTTGATGCCAAAGGTTCTAACGATAATATATACAGCATTGGTGCCAGCGGGCACCCCTGACGTGTTCCATTGCGAACCTGGACCCAATAAGAGTTTAATCCCTGCCCCACAATTTTAGCAGATGGTGCCTTATATAAAGCCATGACCGAGCCAACTAGCCCCTCCTCAAAATTAAAAGCTTTAAGAACCTCTTCAAGGAAGCACCAGTCAACCCGGTCAAAAGCCTTTTCTGGGTCCAAGGCCAGGAAAATTTATGGAATTTTCTGAGATGATACATAATTAATAAACCCTGATTGATCAAGGTGTATGATATGAGAAATAACAGGTCTCATTCTTTCAGCAATACCCGAAGAATAGATTTTAGTGTCTATATTTAGTAGGGAAATTGGCCGATAATTTGGGACCCTAGTCCTATCTTTATCATTATTGGGGATAGGTATTAATTGCTGCCTGCAGCATCTCAGTTGGAAATGTTCTATTTTCCTTCATTATATTAAATATATTTGTAAAATGGGGAGTGATCAGATATATAAATTTCTTATAGAACAGATTTGACTATCCATCTAGTCCTGGAGCATTCTTGGGGTGTAACCTTTTGATAACCTTCTTGATCTCCTCTTCCTTCATAGGGGAGTCTAACCATTCTTTTTGTTGCCTTGAAACCTGAGTTAGGTTAGCTTCCCTTAGATAATTTGATATCTCTAGGCTATCAGTCCCTGTAGGCAAATTGTATAAAGCTGAATAAAACCTCTTGAAAGCGTTCCCAATATCGGAAGGGCTTTGATTAGACCCTGTTTCATCGATAATCTTGAATATTTTAGTATTTAAGTTGTCCCTTTTGAGTTGGTTTGAGAGGAGCTTGTCAGCTCTGTTGCCAAGATAGTACCACCTTTGTCTTGATTTTACCATGATCTTATTTTCTTTAATATTCAGTTGTTCACATATATCTATCTTAATTAGATTACTTTCCTTTATTCTTTCTTCATTAATATCTAGCTTATTTAGCCTAGTTAGGTCGGCCAATTTGGCATACAGACTAGCCAGGGGAGAAGAGAGGAGGGCAGGAAAAAAGGTTAAAATTATATTAGGTAATGGAAATACTCTTACATTTTTATTTTAAATACCCAGGGACTAAACAGCTCACAGAAAAGCATTACTATGATAGATATGCTATGGAAGGAAAGGATCGATGTTGCTGCAATTCAGGAGGTGCATTGGAAGGCTCAGGATTCTACTTGTTTTAATTTTGGTAGGTTCCCAGTGAGGGAATTATCATCTATGAAAGATAAAAAACAAAGGGGAGTAGCTTTATTTTTTTTCGAAAAAGGTTAAATATGAACGTATCTACAAGATCTTCGATTGCTATTGGAGATTTGTCTTTTTTAGTTTGTAGATTAAATGATCATTTGTTTTCCATCTTGAATGTGTATGCCCCAAACAAGAATCAAATTCATTTCGTTAATGGGGTCTTGAATCAGGTTTAGAATTTAATCCAGGGCACATTTATTATATTGGACGATTTTAATTGTGTGGTGGATCCCATTTTGGACAGACATGGTCCTATCAACAGGTTTTAAAATCCAGTACTTAATGGTTTGGCCCAAGCTTTTCAAAGCACTATAGGGAAATACAAATTATATGACACTTGGAGGACACTCAGACTGGACGATAGGGATTTTACCTTTTTTTTCAAATCGACACCGCTCATACTCCCGAATAGACCTGATCTTGGCGGACCAACAATACATTTTGCAGTGTAAAAGCATTTAAATTGGCCCAGTGTCATGGTCCAAACATGATTCTGTCATTTTGGAAGTACGAGACAGATTTAAGGAGAACTTACGATCCTGGAAATTAAATTACTCCCTGTTGCTAAAAAAAGAAAATCTAGATAGTTTGCTAAAATCAGGAGAAAACTTTTTTAAAGAGAATTTAACTGGAGAAGTAAGTCTATCAATAACTTGGTATGCTTTTATAAGCGTGATGAGGGGCCATTTAAGTAAAATAGAGGCTCAGACTAGAAGGAAGGGGCGGGAAAATTGCATCTATGTCTTCATGTAATCCCACACAAACTCAGTGAAGTTAAAATCAGGGTTCTGTGGGGGCCATACTATAACTTCTAGGACTTCTTGCTCTTCATTACGCTGAAAATTCTTTTTTATGCTGTATAATACATTAATAAATTAAGATGCTTCCCTGATGGTATTGCATGATGACTACATATCTCCCTGTACATCACAGCACTGAGGAGCCCATTCATTCTGACCAAAACTACAACAACTCCATTTGCAGCCACAATCTTGAAAGGAACCTTCACCATGCCTTCAGGCAGTCATTCTTGTATTACTTTCCAGCCCTTCGGCCAACAAGTTGTCTTTCTGCTACAGCCAAGTACCGGTATTTATAATTTTGACTTAGAACAGAGTCCAGAGCACCTGTTGCCGTTTTCCTGCATCCCAGTTCCTGTGTTTTCATGCACATTTGAGTTGCTTGGCCTTGTTGCCACATCAGAGGTAGGACTTTACTGGCCTCAAATCTTCCAGAAAAGCCACTTTTGATTTGACCTCTGCGGGCAGTAGACAGGAGTACCAGAGTCCCACTGGTTTCTGCCAATTCTGGCAGATGCTGATTGCATAGGGAAGTAAGCATGATGCGACTCAATGAAGTGATATTGTTATGGGCAAATGCAAATATTACAAGTTTTGGAATGAAATGTTGTATTTCTTAAAGTGTGTAGATATTGCACACTGACAAGGTGTTAGAAATGGAACATATTGTTTTTCATAACTCTTTCTTTAAGCAATAACCTCTTACCTACCTTCAGTGCATAATATGTTTACGCCATTCTGTCCCAGACGAATTACAAGAACAATAATGCATAAACAAGCTTCAACACTATACTACGACTCTTTCAGTACACAATATACTGTGGTAACCCTAAATAGATAAAGATGTTCAGACTGTAAGATGCCATCTTGAACTAAGTCAGGAAAATTTCCATGACCTATACACCCTTTAGTTTTGGCCTTGTATTTTTGCCAAGTTAAGGGAGGTCCTAAAATGAATAAAAGTAAAAAAGTTACTTTTTCATATATGAACTACGGTGACCCTAAAATGACGACACCTAAGGTATAAATAGGTGTACTTTTAAAGGTTAAAGAACAGAGGAGAGACTTGGAGACAGACGCTGCTCCATCTTAAAATGACAGAGAGGCTGACATGATGACATGTTCAGAAGGGTATGTTAACCTATTAATGGTATTTGCAAGCATTTAGTTTAATCTTATAAACTTTGCTATATGGATTTTATATGTCTATATTTATATTTTTATATAATAAATATCTAAAAAGACAAAACTTTATTTCTTCCAAGACAATCCTTATTTTATATTGTATTCTCAACATTTTATATATGTTCAATAGAGGATCTCTTACACTAACTATATAGAATTATGGCTAAGATATCTGTATGGTTAGCCCTACTAAGTTCTATGCTTTAAGACGTTATAGTGGTAAATAAGGGAACCAGCCGCGGTTACAATATGGGTGCCAAGTGCCTGTTGTTTTAACTGTGCAACTGAAAAAATTACCGTTCTGCAGGAAGGGTTAAAATACCTCTAGTGGCAGGTGCTTCCTCCAAAATGGCAGAGTGGTTATTTCATAACGTTCATCATGCGTACTAGCCTCCCAATGCTTCCCTATGGGACAGTATTAGAACTGTCATCAAAACTGATGATTTTAGCCAAAGAGGCAGAGCTTCCCCATAGAGAACACTTGTGAAAACTTGTCTTTTAAATATTATGGTGTTCCAATAAAAAAATAAAAGGTATAATTGCAAACTGCAATACTCTGATTATTTTGACATCTTGTATATTGGACTAATATGGCTACTTTATAAAAGTCTAATCTAAAAGTCTCATTTAATGTGGATAAGTGCAAGATAATGCATCTTGGACGTAAAAACCCAAGGGCAGAGTACAGAATATTTGATAGAGTTCTAACCTCAACATATGAGGAAAGGGATTTAGGGGTGATTATTTCTGATGACTTAAAGGTAAGCAGACAATGTAATAGAGCAGCAGGAAATGCTAGCAGAATGCTTGGTTGTATAGGGAGAGGTATTAGCAGTAGAAAGAGGGAAGTGCTCATGCCATTGTACAGAACACTGGTGAGACCTCACTTGGAGTATTGTACACAGTACTGGAGACCGTATCTTCAGAAGGATATTGATACCTTAGAGAGGGTTCAGAGAAGGGCTACTAAACTGGTTCATGGATTGCGGGATAAAACTTACCAGGAAAGGTTAAAGGATCTTAACATGTATAGCTTGGAGGAAAGACGAGACAGGGGGGATATGATAGAAACATTTAAATATATAAAGGGAATCAACACAGTAAAGGAGGAGACTATATTTAAAAGAAGAAAAACTACCACAACAAGAGGACATAGTCTTAAATTAGAGGGACAAAGGTTTAAAAATAATATCAGGAAGTATTACTTTACTGAGAGGGTAGTGGATGCATGGAATAGCCTTCCAGCTGAAGTGGTAGAGGTTAACACAGTAAAGGAGTTTAAGCATGCGTGGGATAGGCATAAGGCTATCCTAACTATAAGATAAGACTAGGGACTAATGAAAGTATTTAGAAAATTGGGCAGACTAGATGGGCCGAATGGTTCTTATCTGCCGTCACATTCTATGTTTCTATGTAATATATACATTGTACGCATCCATATCATCTCCTCTCATTCTCTCGTGCTCTCTTGCTCATAGCAATACAAAACATTGGCAGGGCATAATGGTTATGGTGGAATATGTTTGATGGTTAATTTAGGATAATTGAGTGTGATTTTGCTACTCTTGCGGTGTCTTATTTAGCTGGAAATGTAATTGTGCATGTGTTGTGTAGTGCATGTTATGTTTTTCTACAAAATTCAGTTGTTTGCTATTGGCTTCATTATTGTGTCCACAAGTGCATAATAGGTGATAGTAAACTGTTTTTGGCTGAAATAGGAGCCTGTTAATGCACATTATTACTCCATGGCCCACTAACCCTGCTAGGCTTAGGGGAGATGAATCTGTCATTAAAAAAAGCAAACGCAACAGATTATTGTACAAAAAAATGTGGTGGCTTATTTAGCATTTACAGTTCAATGTCCTAAGGGCATGGCTGGCTGAACAAATAATTGGATGCAAATGAGCTCCGAGATTGATTTTACTGCTTTCTCAGTTTGCCTTGGTTAATAGAAGTTATCTTTATCTTAAACACTTTATGCAAGTCAAGTATGGCAATAATGTAAAAAGACAAGAATTCTCAGCAGCTGGATGTGCCTGAAATGACCTCTTAGATCACAGCAACTAAGTCTAGAGAGTGGGATTTTAATGTTATCTAGATAAAGGTCTAATCCTAATTGGCTGTGCTAACCTTTCTAGTAAAGATACTAACTGGCCTCCCTTCCGTCTAGGCACAAACATCAAAATATGCAAGTTAAAGAAGTACTAGAACAGATAGGTCCAAAGAGAACTTCTGGACTGCACACAGAGTTTTATCAGCTCGTTGCTTCCCAAAGGTGAGAGAAGATCCCCTTGTATTATGGAGGTGTAAGGAAGGTGACTATGGTTCTTGCAGATGCACCTAGGAACTGAATAAAAGTGAAAAACAATATTCCTTCAGGCAAGAGTGTAAAGCAACTATCTTCTCACATTTGAATATACCTGATTAATCATTCCTTGTTCAGGGCTAAATATCTGCTGTGCCAGGGTAACAGACTCTCTATATGGAGATAATGGGGAACACAAGGTCAAGGTGGTTTCCCCAAAAGGAAAACAATCCGAAGCAAGTAAAAAATGCATCGAAAATGGTTATTAGCAAAAACAACGGTTTTGTGTTTATAGATTGATCATAGTACATACTTCTTACCAAATAGAGGTGATGAGATTTGAGTAAAAGCGCTATATTGACTCCATGACTCTAAAAAAACAAAATGAAAATATATATTTAAAAGGAAAACAAAAAGCACCATAACTGATAAATGACTATAAAGAATCCCAATGGCTTCCGCAGTGATAACTGACGGTTTGATCTCATATTAGCCTTTCACTGTGAATAGCTATCTCCTTTTCTAGTGAATTGAGAAAAGGAGGTAATTAATGAATAACAAAGGAATATTCCAAATAACGTAAGAACTATAGATACTAGCAGCCTTCTCCTTTCTCCCCTGCTGCCAGAAGCTCTGTTACTGACCTGAGCCTGAATGTGCAGGGCCTTACTTATTGGCTGAGAGGGCTTAGTTGATGCTCTCAGCCAGTGAGCCGGTAATGCGGAGCAAGACTTAGTGGAATTAAAAGGAACTACTTGCATGAGATTTTGGCAGCAGGGGAGGTGGCAAAAAGGGGGCCAGTGGGAAACAGGTAAGTTGTCAAACTGTCCTTAAACTGTTTAATATCTTGGCTACTCTGGCACCATAACCAATACAGCAGATTGTATTTGTTACAGTATTTTAGGTTTTCCTTTGAAAATACCCACTTATATTCTTTAATTACCCCCTTCTCCTGCAAAGGAGATGGCTATCCACAGATCCCTCATAGTCAGTTGTATGAATGCTAATATACATAATATTCAGGGATATAAATTTTAATTTGTGGAGTATATACTATTAAGATACATAATATTTAGAAATATAATTTTAATTAGTGGCTTTTGGAGAGTTCTGACTGCCATTTTGGGATCAAAGAGGAATTTTTTCCAGGTTTCTTGCAAAATTGAAAGCATCTCACTCTGGGTTTTTTGGCTTTTTTTGGATCAACAGCAAAAACAGATGTGAGAAAGGCTGAACTTGATGGATGCATGTCTCTTTTCAGCTATGTAACTACTGTATTTAGTGTGTGTGTGTGCGTGTATTTTCATGACATGAAATCCATGGAGTTTGTAACTACTGTATTTAGTGTGTGTGTGTGCGTGTGTTTTCATGACATGAAATCCATGGAGTTTGTAACTACTGTATTTAGTGTGTGTGTGTGTGTGCGCGTGTATTTTCATGACATGAAATCCATGGAGTTTGTAACTATTGTATTTAGTGTGTGTGTGTGCGTGTGTTTTCATGACATGAAATCCATGGAGTTTGTAACTACTGTATTTAGTGTGTGTGTGTGCGCGTGTGTTTTCATGACATGAAATCCATGGAGTTTGTAACTACTGTATTTAGTGTGTGTGTGCGTGTGTTTTCATGACATGAAATCCATGGAGTTTGCCAAGATGGTGACATGGCCAGATGTTTTTTTCAAAGGAAGCAGCGACCTATATTAGCAGCTTGAAATATCCTTACACGTTATGTCTTTTAAGATACCCTTTCAGCCTGCATACATATATCACAATGTTATAACATTTCTTTAAGAATCACTGCATTTATCATGACAGCAATGTAAACGCTAACTTTATTGCTGATTTTTATACTAGAGTTGTATTTTGTTTCTAAAATAGTAAATGGAGACGGTAACTGTGTAACAGGAATACTTTCACTATAAACAATCTCTAAAGTGTAATTATAAAAAAAATTTATTAGCATATCCAGGTATAAATTATATATCTTTCGGTTAGTCATAACAGCATATTTTAACTTTTATTGCTATATTTGCTCTCCTTGAATATTGTTAGTAGGTCTCCTTAAGAGTAGATGGTACTGTAGTTACGGCCCCTTTTCTCACTATATGGTTTATTATCTTGGATGGTTCATTGATCATATCATGATTTTCAGATAAAACACAGAAATGATCACCTTGGTTTTTCACTAATATTTACTGGAGTCAAAAACTGGATTGGTGTTCTAGCTGAGATTGTTATATTCCATTGGCAATATGTAATTGAAAATGTATTTGAAATCAACTCACTAGAAAACCTGTGGTACATTTTGATTTAGACCAAAGCTTCACTTAAGTCCTAAAGGGGGGTGGAGGGCCTGACTGCCATGCTGAAAGGCTGCATGAGACAGCAGCTCCAACAATCTAAAATTTTCAGCCCACTAAAGCTGAT